TTTATTTATTTCAAATGGAAAGGTTCAAACTAAAGATGGAGTTGTAACCAGTTTCAAAACCATTTCCTCCAATAAGTTTATTATTATGAGAAGAATTCCGGTTTCCAGCACGAGCTGAGTCACGTGACCGCTCGTCGGCTCGGTTGGACCAGAGAGCAGCGCAGTCCTTTAAACAGCGCTGATGACGACGAACCGACGAAGCTCTATGTTAACAACAACATTCCGACGGCACCACTGAAGTGGACCTCACAAAGTAAAATGTTTTATTTGGTTTACTTTTTGTTTTATTCTAAACGCTTTTTAAAAGTTAAATAAGCAAARGCCTGAACCTGTGTCGCTAGCTTAGCTTAGCTTCCTTTCTTCAACACAGCTGTGAGAGCTAATCATGACTTTAGCAAAACCGTTTCTCAGGCATATATTTAAACACTATACCATAATAAAGTATCTGTCACCTTTAGTTGTTATTAAAATGCTGTTTTATGTTTAAGTAGAAAATAAACTTATCTTCTCATTACTTCCTCAACGCCTTGAAATTGGTCTCTGTCTCTTTAAGAGCCCACTTCCATCGGTCGCGCGCGGGGGGGAGGTGGAGGGGGGGGGGCACGCGTGCACCGTGATGCAGTTTACTTGGCATCTGAAAATAGCCTCAAAGGTATTTTGAATCTGAAAAGAGCTTCATTGAGTGAGAAGTAGCTCAGCAGACTGTTTGACTTTGTTGTGTTACTGCCAGCCTGCAGGAGTCATGGGGTGTGTGTGGGGTGGGGAGGTGTGTGATGAGGAAGCTCGAGACACGTCCCAGAGGCCTTTCTGGTCCCCACCTGTCATTTTGCTTCTCGGCATGGCTGCCAAAAAACGCTGCAGGATTTCTCATGGTGCGTTCACACCGAATGCGATTTCAGCATCAAAATCGCATCCAACGCTTCAAGTTCGACGCTTGTGAACTCTTTGCTCTCAAAGCGCTCGATGCGCGTCCAGCACGTCGAGAGCCTCCCCGCCCCCTCCCTCTGCCCGTCTCTCCTCTGTCGGCCTCTGTTTAACTTCGGATGAAATATAGGAAGTGACTTTGCTTTATTTACAGAGAGCAAGAGCATGTCACTCTCATCAGATAATTAATCCATAACTAATTCACCAGATAATTCAGAGACGTTCTGAGTTTGGTGAGTTTCATCACCCAGGAGCTGCAAGCTGACATTTCTCACGGCTCGTTTTCAGAACTATTTTTGTCCCGAGTCCAGTCTGATGAGCCGCTGACCCGCATTGGTGCAGATATCTCCTGTCAGGACACCAACTACCGGCACTCAATTTTAGCTAAAGAGCTCCTCTCCATCTGTTTCAGGTTAGTAGACATATTCAGCAAACTGTCCAGTTGGGAAACTTGTCATCACACAGTGGAGTCTCTCTGACTGGTTGACGCGGCGTATCGAGCTGCAAAATTTCAGATTTTCCAATTCCAGCGTCGAACGCTCAAAATGCGCCACGCTAAACGCGCTAGACGCACCGCAGCACTTCCCGACGCGCGTCCACCGTAGACTTTGCATGTAAACCTGATGCTCCTGACGCTCAAAACGCGTTTGGTGTGAACGCACCATCACACATGCATGAATGAGTCAGAGCGAGGCTTTGGGCATGTTTTTTATGAGAGTATAACATTGTAACATGAAAAAAAAAACTCAAAAAAGTTGATTTTACAC